CCAAACTTTGCAGCTTCACCAGGGCCACACCACTTGAGATAGGAAGTTGAAATTCACACAGCAACTAGTTTGAAATCTTAGCTTTGCAATGCCACAAACGGCGATTCCATATCTGCCTTACTTTGGAAGCACTGAGCGTTTTAGTTTTGTCGATGAAAAACCGGAATTTTTGGCCCTTTTCCGCAAAAAAAAAAGTGCTCAGAATTCACTTTTATGCACATTGGGGGAGAGCTAGAGAAGCACCGAGTCCAAAAAACCGGGTTTCATCGATTTCCGAGACCAAAAAAATTCGACCCAAAAATGGATTTTGGTACCACAGGTAGCTAACTGTTAAAATTTGCCTATTTTGCCTTTTTTGAAAATCCAAACTTTGCAGCTTCACCAGGGCCACACCACTTGAGATAGGAAGTTGAAATTTACACAGCAACTAGTTTGTAATCTTAGCTTTGCAATGCCACAAACCGCGATTCCATATCTGCCTTACTTTGGAAGCACTGAGCGTTTTAGTTTTGTCCATGAAAAACCGGAATTTTTGGCCCTTTTCCGCAAAAAAAAAAGTGCTCAGAATTCACTTTTATGCACATTGGGGGAGAGCTAGAGGAGTACCGAGTCCAAAAAAACGGGTTTTTTTGTTTTTTTTCTTTAAAATAGATTTATTTCTATTAAAACGTTACATACAACAAATTTAAACAGATATCACAGGTTGATACAGTTATCACAGATCAAGTAAAATTTAGATTAATGTACTGCCCATTTATTGTTATGTATGGATTAAAATTAAAACGAGTAATAAAACTAGCTTCACCATATTTATATAAAATACACTGAAGATGATTTGTAAAAATCTTTCTGAATAATGTAAATAAATCAACATGTCTATTATTAGATATAAAATTTAAGCGACATTTTACAATAGCCATTCTTACACATGCAAATAAAATAAGTAAGAAATTAGAATGCTGATTTTTAACCACTGGATAACCAAAGAGAATCCAGTTGTGAAACTCTTGAAGTGAAAATCCCTTATTTAGTAACAAGGACGTTATTATGTCTGTAATCTGCGAAAGAAAACCACACAAAGACGGACATGTACACAGAAGATGCAACAGCGTCTCACTTTCTCCAACTCGACATAATTCACAAACTGGACTTTTAATTACCTTTGCTAAAAATTTTCTACTATTAGTCCATAAGATATTATGACAAATGCTAAAATCATTATCTATCATCTCGGAACTTTTAATATTATAAAATACAGATTTCCAGACTTTTCTATCAACCGTAAATCCCAAAGTTTCAAAATAAGACACAGAAGATGGGGCGTTAAATATATGGCTGCGTATGGTTGCATAACAATTCTTAGCAGGAAAATCAGAAACAGCCAGTTGCGAGTCAGTAGCTGTCGGGACAACAAAATCAGTAAAAACATCAACAAGATGGCAAGAAGAATCAATAGCGTCCTTCCAAGATTCGGGAATTGAATCAATGATGGAGTTAAATGCTTTAAAAACAGTAAGATTGTTTGCATCCGGAAAAGCATCTTTAACATAATTGACTAAAGCAAGTGGTTTGATAAACCCAACATTGTCCCTATTAGAAATATCTGCAATCTTAACAATACCTAATGATGTAAACTTATCAAAAGACGGTGAAAATTTGATAGGAATATGTGGATTTGAAAATAATGGTTGGTTTATCACAAACTGATAATTATCTGAGAACATGCGATTACCATTATCTATTCTATCCCATGCTATCAAAATTTCACTATGAAACTTGGGCAGCACAGAAAATTTCTTTTTAACATGTTTAATAAACAAAAGTTCAAAAGAAAAAGACAAATTATCATATTTGTGGAAAAAATAGAACATAAAACATTTCCAGCAATGCTCAAAGTCAGGATTCAAGAACTTTGCCAGCCAGCATAGGCGAAAAGAGTCTCTCCTTGTTTCTATAATAGGAATATTCAGACCCCCATCGTTTCGATGACCAAGTAGGGTAGACTTTTTGATTAAAGGGGTTCGATTTCCCCATAAAAAAACTTTTAATTACCTGATTAAAGGCTAAAACCGCCCAAGATGGGATACTAATAATTCTAAGGATATACCATAATATCGACAAGCACAGAGTGTTAACTATAAGACTTTTTCCAATAAGAGACAGTCGTCTACCCTTCCACAAATTAATTACTTTCTTAAATTGTATCTAATTTCCCATTCCAATTCAGAGACTCACATACTGATGGGTTCGGTCCCAAATAAACTCCAAGAATTAAAATACCATCATTTAATATTTGTAAAGGTAGATTTAAATCACCAGGAACACACGTAGCAGTACCAGCGACAAGTAGCTGAGATTTCTCAATATTGATCTTTGCTCCAGACAGCTTACAGTATCGATCAATTGACTCAAACGCATGATTTACAGAATCAAGATCACTTAACGTCAAAGTTGCATCATCAGCGTGTTGATAAATGACAGATGTTTTGTCGGAAAACGGAATGGGAATACCATGTATGTCAGTGTTTGAAGTTACTAAAGCATTTAAAGGTTCCACCGAAAGCACGTATAAAAGTGCTGCTATGGGGCAGCCTTGTCGTACTGATCTTAAGACAGGAAATGACAACGATATGTGTCCATTAACCTTAACACAGCTTTTAATATCCCTGTAAAGCGTTTTGACGGAGTTCGTAAAGTACGAGCCAAAACCCATTAGATTTAACACATTAAAAAGGTAAAAATGTGACACTCTATCAAAAGCTTTCTGGGAATCAATTTTTAACAAGTAAAGAGGAAGCTGTTCAACATCAACATAATCAATAATATCCCTAATAGCACATACATTATAAGATATATCTCGACCAGGGATACAGGATGTCTGATCTGACGAAACTACAGATGATATAACAGATTTTAATCGCAGTGCTAGACATCTAGAAAATATTTTGTAGTCGACATTTAGTAAACTGATAGGTCTGTAGTTTTTCAGATCAGACCGGTCACCTTTATTCTTATAAAAGATTGAAATCATACCCCTTTTCATGCTCGGGGACAGTTCCTCAGAAGACATTATGTCAAGTACAACATTATAATAAATGTCACCTATTAACTCCCAAAAAGATAAATAAAATTCCACTGTCAACCCGTCAGTTCCGGGTGACTTGTTCCTTGACATTCCTTTTAAAGATTTGAAAAGCTCATCTTTCGAAACCTCTGCATCACACGCATTTCGGTCTTCTTCTGACAGACAATTCCGAACGCAGGGTTGTAACAATTTTAAGTCATTTTCCAAAGAATCATCACGCGAGTAAAGCTTAGAATAGAATAGTTTAGTTTCATCCAAAATATCAAAAGAATCAGATTTAAGCTTGCCACTCTCTGAAAGAATCTCTCTTATAGAACTGTTCTCTTGTTTTCTCTTCTCAAGAATCAGAAAATATTTAGTACACCTCTCTGAATCAAGGACTTCCACAGACTTTGAGCGAAGAATAGCTCCAAAACATTCTCGCTTTTCATATTCAGCCAGTTCCAGTTCCAACTCAGAAAGCAAACACTTATCATAATTCAGTCCACGCGAAGCTCTGTCGTATATATATTTCAGTCGTTTTTGAATTAACCAATACTGTTCTTTTTGCTTCTTCCGAATACGTATTGAATATGCAATTGTTTGCTGTTTAATCCTGTATTTCAGGTTGTCCCAAAATATGCGAATTTCACTTTCAAACAGCGGACACTTTAACGATGATTTTATTAACTCGATAATGAGGTTTCGATACGCAAGGTCACACAAGAGAGAATTATTTAAGACCCAACTACCAGGTCCACGATCAATGCTCTTAAGATTAATGGAAACAGACACAAAATTGTGATCACTCAGACCTGTGTGATAGATGGTTGAATTCATTAACATATTCTCAAGACTTTCTGAAACAAAAATGTAGTCAATTCGCGATTGCTTTAAATCGCCGAGTACATTCTGCTGTCTTGTAAAGACGCGCTTATTGGGGTTGAAAAAGCGCCAACAATCAATCAACTTACAGCGATCAACAAAATCACAAAGACCGGACGATCCAACACCAAAGGAAGCCATTCCTTTAGCACGATCACAGAAACGATTCATCACATCATTAAAATCTCCGCAAATCATACATGATTTCTCACTAGGAATATCAGATTCAAGGCGCTCGAGAAATTTGGGTTTATCATCCTCTGCGTTTGGAGCATAGCAAGATACAATGTTAAAATCAACCGCATCTCGCTCAAAAGAACACCTAAGGAACCTTCCATCATTCGATGAAGAAACCAAGGAAACACTTTTTGAAAAATGTTTAGACACTAGAATTGCACAACCACGTCTATGACTACCAGAATCACAAGAGGCGTAAATATCACCATCCCATAGATGTTGATATTGTTTAATAAAAGAGTCATCCCAAAACGTTTCCTGTATACAAAATATTCCTACAGAAAGGGATTGAACAAGTTGAAATACTTTTGTCAGTTTATCTAGGTTTCTAAGTCCGGCAGCGTTCAAAGAGACAAAGAGCATGAATAATGATTTACGGAAAAGGTTATTTAGTAACATGCTTTAAATTAACTGTTGTGCGTTTCTTCACAATTTTGCCGATCACGTGATCAAGCGATTTTCTCTTCGGTGAGAGACTCTTTGTCCGGAAAGAAGAACTCTTTTTAGTCGCAGGCACACGAGACCATTTCAACTCAGAATTATCGGAAATGGATATATCATTTGATACAGGGATACAGGAATCAGACTTCATTTCAGCATCAGGGGTCATTGAACAAACTGGCTCAAGCACGGTTATGTTATCATCATAATGCTCTGAAGATTCTTGAAAAGTAACATCATCCGCACTTACTATACTGGACCTATCAGGACTACCTGAACAACTTGTATCAATATCAAAATCATCATTATTATCTCTGGGTTTATTCTGAACATTAGTCGCACCAATGGCCCAGATGATAGGAGGGTCGCAAACACAATCCTCCTTGATGGTATCAGGACAATTTCGTTGAATATGACCTCTTTTGTTACAACTACGGCAAATTCTATCAGGACAAGCTGAATTGAGATGACCGGGGGACAGGCAGCTAAAGCATACCTTTTCTTGGTGATCATGACGAACGCTGTAATATTCTACTCCAGATTCAATTTGGAAGCCAACAGAATACGGTAGAGAGGAAACATCTGGTGGAAATCTAACCCTCATAAACCTTGTGCCATCAAAGACATCGGTATTTTCATAGCGACGACGTTTGATAGGACCAAGAAGCTCAACTCGCCATAGCTTTAACTTTGATTCAATTTGTTCATCAGTGATTAGTCCTGACAGGTGCATGAAGGAAACAACTTTTACCTTTGAGGACAGGTGACGAACAAAAATTGGCTGATTATCAATCTTCAATTCTTTATCGACTATGGCTCTTGCAGACTCAATGTCAATCAATGATACTTCATACACATCACCATTTTTAGGGACACAGGACAAAATAGAATCTTCTCCCAGTGCACCTTGAACAGCCGCAATCACTTTACTAGCCGTCATCACTTTCATATTACTGACCGAAATCAAAACAGTTGCATCTTTTGAAAAAATGGGCCGTCCGAATTTTCGGACAATTTTCCTCTTGTCCGATATGACTAGTGTGTCCGGAGTGTCATCTGCCATATTGGCAGAAGACGGGACAAAACACAGTCTCAAAGTCTAAATAAAATATTCAGAACACCAAATATCAAATATAAGTCTTCAACAATAATAAACACAAACGAAAAAACAACACAAAGGGTCAAATGTCTTTGGACAACTTCGATATTTACCGATTATTGACAGTGAGAACAACAAACGACATATCGATTCGGGATCCAGACCACCAACCAGACTTCAAAAAACACAAGAAATAAAATCCAAATCTGTAAGTTTGGAAACTAGCTATATGCAGTCTGCATATTGGTGCACAAGAAGTGCTCAAGGACAAATAATTTTTTTGCGTCAAAACTTACAAAGCTACAATGCTGAAATTTTGTACCAATATTCACATGGACTATCTGGACATGTCAGAAAAAACAGAACTCAAATATCACGGACTTAAGTCAAAGGACTTAAAAAAACACATGAAATCAAATCCAAATCTGTAAGTTTGGAAACTAGCTATATGCAGTCCGCATATTGGTGCACAAGAAGTGCTCAAAGAAAAATAATTCTTTTGCGTCAAAACTTACAAAGCTACAATGCTGAAAGTTTGCACCAATATTCATATATACTATATACTGGGCATGTCAGAAAAAATAGAACCCAAATATCTGACATAGAACAGAAATTTTTCTTTTCAAATTTTTAATGCATATTGGCAAAAGAGGCTTTCAAATACAAACTTTAGATTCGATGTAACCCGGTTTTTTGGACTCTGTGCTTCTCTAGCTCTCCCCCAATGTGCATAAAAGTGAATTCTGAGTACTTTTTTTTTGCGGAAAAGTGCTAAAAAATCCGATTTTTCATGGACAAAACTAAAACGCCCAGTGCTTCCAAAGTAAGGCAGATATGGAATCGCAGTTTGTGGCATTGCAAAGCCAACATTTCAAACTAATACCTGTCAAAATTTCAGCATCCTATCTCAACTGGTTTGACCGTGGTGAAGCTGCAAAATTTGGATTTTCAAAAAAGGCAAAATTGGCAAATTTCAACAGGTGGTACCAAAATCCATTTTTGGGTCGAATTTTTTTGGTCTCGGAAATCGATGTAACCCGGTTTTTTGGACTCGGTGCTTCTCTAGCTCTCCCCCAATATGCATAAAAGTGAATTCTGAGCACTTTTTTTTTTTGCGGAAAAGTGCCAAAAAATCCGGTTTTTCATGGACAAAACTAAAACGCTCAGTGCTTCCAAAGTAAGGCAGATATGGAATCGCGGTTTGTGGCATTGCAAAGCTAAGATTTCAAACTAGTACCTGTCAAAATTTCAGCATCCTATCTCAACTGGTTTGACCGTGGTGAAGCTGCAAAATTTGGATTTTCAAAAAAGGCAAAATTGGCAAATTTCAACAGGTAGCTACCTGTGGTACCAAAATCCATTTTTGGGTCGAATTTTTTTGGTCTCGGAAATCGATGTAACCCGGTTTTTTGGACTCGGTGCTTCTCTAGCTCTCCCCCAATGTGCATAAAAGTGAATTCTGAGCACTTTTTTTTTTTGCGGAAAAGTGCCAAAAAATCCGGTTTTTCATGGACAAAACTAAAACGCTCAGTGCTTCCAAAGTAAGGCAGATATGGAATCGCGGTTTGTGGCATTGCAAAGCTAAGATTTCAAACTAGTACCTGTCAAAATTTCAGCATCCTATCTCAACTGCTTTGACCGTGGTGAAGCTGCAAAATTTGGATTTTCAAAAAAGGCAAAATTGGCAAATTTCAACAGGTAGCTACCTGTGGTACCAAAATCCATTTTTGGGTCGAATTTTTTTGGTCTCGGAAATCGATTTGGACTCGGTGCTTCTCTAGCTCTCCCCCAATGTGCATAAAAGTGAATTCTGAGCACTTTTTTTTTTTGCGGAAAAGTGCCAAAAATTCCGGTTTTTCATAGACAAAACTAAAACGCTCAGTGCTTCCAAAGGAAGGCAGATATGGAATCGCCGTTTGTGGCATTGCAAAGCTAAGATTTGAAACTAGTACCTGTGTAAATTTCAACTTCCTATCTCAAGTGGTGTGGCCCTGGTGAAGCTGCAAAGTTTGGATTTTCAAAAAAGGCAAAATTGGCAAATTTCAACAGGTAGCTACCTGTGGTACCAAAATCCATTTTTGGGTCGAATTTTTTTGGTCTCGGGAATCGATGAAACCCGGTTTTTTGGACTCGGTGCTTCTCTAGCTCTCCCCCAATGTGCATAAAAGTGAATTCTGAGCACTTTTTTTTTTTGCGGAAAAGTGCCAAAAATTCCGGTTTTTCATGGACAAAACTAAAACGCTCAGTGCTTCCAAAGTAAGGCAGATATGGAATCGCCGTTTGTGGCATTGCAAAGCTAAGATTTCAAACTAGTTGCTGTGTAAATTTCAACTTCCTATCTCAAGTGGTGTGGCCCTGGTGAAGCTGCAAAGTTTGGATTTTCAAAAAAGGCAAAATTGGCAAATTTCAACAGGTAGCTACCTGTGGTACCAAGGGGATCCTCAGAGTCGACC